CTTGAAAGTTATTTCCAGCGATTTCTCTTGGCCACTTTTACTAAGGAATTTTTTCTCCTAAAGTTATACCATGAATAGGTTGTGATATATAGCCGAGAGATCGGCTTATTGGACCACCTTATATGTGCATGTTTTATATAATGTGACTCTTAGAATCGTAGTATCTTAGGAATGGTAACTCTTAGAAAAAAAATCATAAGGACAATTTTCAAAAAACAGCAGTAATCGATGGGGCTATACCTTTAAAAAAAATGTGTTAAATACAACGAAAAGGTCACCAATTACAGAAATCTTGAAATTAATAATACCGAATTTCTTTATTAACCACGTTAAGCGTTATTAACAAACTTCTTGTTTTTAAGCCCATTCTATAAAATAGGTTGATTAAAGCTAGTGATTTTATAATTGAGTTTAAAATATTGTACATCCATCTACAAATAAAAATAAAATATTCCTGAATCTGACGCGGCTAAATGCCTATAATCAAGTTGCATAATCCGCTAGCGGCAACGTAGTGTCATTCAGTACTCCAGAGAGTCGATGAATAATTGGACAATGAATACAGGTTTATTAATTTGCATCCATTTGGACATATGTGTTACTAATCAACGTTTCGTGGCCAGGTTGGTGAAATCTACATTTTTGTGTTAAAGAACATAACATGGTATTATGATAACATGATTTTTGGCACTTTACTTATAAACACAATATATTAAAAAGCTCTTGTTAATATTTTTTTTTAAATGTATCATGTCATTTTTGGTTAACTTAATACAAAACGATTATTTTAATCAACTGAATGGCATATAAAATCAATTGCAAAATGTATTTCTATTTTCAGAAACATTAAATTCATCAAACGTTAAAATCATCAAACGTTAGTCACAATGTGTATTTATTAGTAAAATGTTTTTCGATTTCCAAAATGTTTACACTCAATATAACTGATAATAAACAGGGTGTTTCTATATTTGATCATAAATTCCCCACTCACTTGAGCTCTCTTGTTAATTGATCGATTTTAATATATAAACATAACAACTTAAAGAGTTTAATTTATCCAGATATAGAGGTCAAAAGTTATAAAACAAAAATAAGAAATTTATTGCAATTCCAAAACGTCTATGAATATTTCTTAGGTCTAGTGGTTAATAAGAATTTGACCTTTATAAAAATTAGAAGTTGAAAGTACGTTACTTTTAAATAAGATAACCAATAATACGCTATGATGTTACGGGAAACAGCTCTACCTCCCACTGGAACACATTCTATTCATCTAGTAACTTTTAAGTAATTTATTCCCCGTAGATATTAAACCAAGTTGAAGAGATTACGCATCCCTGCTTGATACCTACTTCTGTTCTGAAATTATCAGAATGTGTGTTAATGTTTTTTAGTGTGTATTATCCCTCAGGCGAGCGCGCTTTTTAAAATAACAGAAGTTGACGCGCGCCATAATTTTATGCCGGAATCAGAAAAACTCATAAGTTTATAAATGTTAATTTAAAGTTTTAAATATTCGTAGACAGTAGTAAATTTGACATAGTTAAATCAAATCTTTTTTTTAACTATAACAATAAAAAATATTTTTCTACATATACATATAACCTATTAAATGTTCACAAGGAAAAAATTCCTGTAGCTGGCTATATACCACGTATCACAAAAAATAATTTATATCTTTATATGTAGGTATATTTAAAAACCCTTATAAGGGCTACATTGAATAAGATAAACAAACGTTTTCGAAATAACAATTCCATCATCAGGTTTAAAAAGTACAAGGTTCACATGCCTGAGCCACCAAAATATGAGGGTAAAAACCCTTTAAAATTTGTGTTGTTACAAAAGATTGTACATAATGTTATTAAAAATATGTGATGTTTAAATTAAATTTGGCTTCAGGTAACATATACCCATGGTTTGAGTTCCAGTGTCCGGAGAGTAAACCTCTTCAAACGGACTACGGCTGGTAACTCCAGTTACCAGTCCAATCTTGGAAATAGATGTCTTGACAGACATCCAGTAATGGAGTAGGTATTATATTGAATAACGAATGAAAGAAACATCTTGTAAGGATAACCATAAGAACTGATAGAATATTAAGTGCCCAACTAATTACAGGCAAAACCAATGTTAACCAATGTAATATTGGGAAAAAAAAAACTTTTGGAGTCCCCTTATTTGCGAGATATTTAAGATTCCTGTATATGAAAAATGTTTTATTGTTGTTTATTTTAATGGACAAATTGATAAAAAAGAGTGGGAGTAAGAGTAAAAAGGGATTATGGATGTTTGAAGGTGGGAATAAAGAATAATGTATAAAATAGTGTGATTGACTTTGCAGTGGCCTGGGATCTACCAGTCACTAATACGTTTCCTTTGAAGACTAAAGACCAGTAGGTTACCTATAGTAGCGGGAGAAGGAAAAGTTAGAAGAAGTTAGCTAAAAGATGTTACCAACTTTAAAGTAATAAAGGGTAAGTGTGTAGCTAGTCAACACCGGCCGGTGATATGGGATATTGAAATAAAGGTGAGGGGGAAAGGAAAGCAAGTAAAATACCAGAAACTAACGTGGTGGAAGTTAAAGGAAACGAGAGATGAAATTGTCGATGCGTTAAATAGGATAAAAAATGCTATAATGGAACAGGTATCCCATCAGTAAGACATGATGGAATACCTGTGAAGGTTTGAAAGGCTTTATAAGACATTGGGGTTGATATTCTGTGGCAAATGATAAGTACTATATATGAGAAATAAAGGATGCCCAATACATGGAGAAAAAGTGTAATGATATTACACATTGTGTTAACATAAAGGGGACATTTTTTTTGCCCTGAGATATTTAATAGAAAAATATAGCGAGAAGAAAAAAGAGCTACATTTGATATTTATAGATCTTAAAAAGATCTTAAAAAAGTTTCCAAAGTTTTTCCATGGTAAAGATATGAAGATGTATGAGAAAGAAATGGGTTCCTAAGATGTAAGTAAGGCTCGTGAAAAAAAGTATGAGAAAGCGTACACCAAAGTAAGGACTGCTTCGAATTAATCCAAAGTTTGTCAGTAACGTTTGGTTTGCATCAAGGCTCTTCACTGAGTCCTTATCCATTTAATCTGGTTATAAATGTATAGACAGAGTAAGTAATTGTGCTTGATCGTATTCACGAGGTAGAAGAGGAAATGGGCATTAAAATAAACTCAAACAAAACCAAGTTTTAAGTGTTTAGTCGTGACCCACATCCCGATGCAAAGCGTCAATTAAACGGAGTTCAAGTTGAGAAAGTTCACAAAATATATAAAAGACATATTTGGGAACTGTAATAACGGACTAACTGGGTGCAGAAATCCATGGAAATAAAACGTAGCATAGCAATGACTACAACTACTTTTATAAAAAACAAGGCATTTCTTTGCAATACCTATCTCAGTTTATAACTAAGACAAAGAATGGTTAAGTGTTATGTTTGGTCCGTACTTTTGTATATTGTAGAAGTTTAAACGCTAAAAGTATCGATCATAAAGAAAATTGAAGCATTGGAAATGCGGGTTTATAGGCGAATACTAAAAATACCTTAGACAGCAAGGAAAACTAATGAAGAATTACTAGAGAGCATTAACAACGATAGGAAACTGCTAAAGACTGTTAAACATCGAAAAATGTCTTATCTGGGATATAGTAAAGGTAAGTCGATATTTAATATAAAAACTGATCCTTAAAGGTAAAATAGACGCTCGTAGAGCTGTAGGAAGAAAACAAGATTTTAAGTTAAAAAACATTCGTGAATATACTCAAATATCAAATGCAGGGCAATTATTCCATATTGCAGAATATCGAGAAGCCTTCGCAATGGTGATCGCTAACGTAGAATAATTCTGATTTGGCAAGCGAAAAGTAAGAGAGGTGGCTCCTCGGGCAATGAATGTTGGAGAAACGCTATTGAAGAGGGAAGACTTAAGGTCCTCCAAACAATAAATGGAGTTTATGTGGTTAAGAGGAAGAGGAATGGTTGAGGATATATAATTTTCCTATACAAAAACTAGGACTAATAGGAGAATTTAAATACCTTGGCTCCTATATAACGCAAAATGGGACACCAGATTGAGAAATTTCTCTGAGGATACAAGCTAGTTGGTTTAACTGAAAGCGAATAAGCGGGACACTTTTTGATGGAAAAATTTAAAAAAGAATGAAATCAAAGATATACAAGAGTATGGTGACACCTGCGTTGGTGTACGGCAGTAAAGTGTGGTCTGTAAATAAAAACGACTTAATTATGTAAAGAGTCAGGGTAATTAAAGTCTTAAAAAATATTCAAGATCAAAGACTGCAACGATTTAGTTAAAGTCAGACGTAGAGATAAAAACTATGTGAAACGAAAGATACAGCTGCTAGAAGTTGATAGAAGGAGAGGTAGAACTGAGAGAGAAAGGTTTAGGTGAAAAATATCCGATGGACAGAAATGAGTGGCAACGAAGAGTAAGGAACAACGACCACCGATAAGAAAGAAAAAAAGATCTGTTAATAATAATATAAATATTGGTTTTCTTTTGATCTGAATTTTTAAATGCTAGTTAATAATTTCAAGCATATGTTTATAAGAGTAGTATTAAATATAGTTTTTAGCAGCTGCCACGGAACCTAAACATACGGTATTATTTATTAAATCGTAAGTTCCACTTTCCATAAATCGTACCAAAAGCAATTATTTTAGGGACGATTTTATTCACTTTTTTTACTTTTGAAACGATTTTAAAGTATCTACGTAAGCTGTCTTAACGATAATTGATTCCAAATAAGTTTACTAAAGCTGATACAATGGCTATCTATGAATATTACAGCTTAAGTTAAGATCAATCTGCAGTTTATTTCAAAGATAAAGCTATGATAAAAAAATGCTTAATGAAGAAGTTATTCTTAGATAAGTAATATCCCTAATAATATTATTATAAGTAATTGTTATAATTGTGAAATTCCTACGCATTTGTAATTGTTATGTTATATGATATTTATAATTTATAATAAAAAGTTCATAGGTAATTTATCCATTAATATTCTTTTTAACACAGTAAATTCCGGCAGAAATAACATTGCACACAATACGATCCAAGAGTTATTTTCCGGAATTCGCAGGATAGGATTCCATGCCTTCAGCTCGTTCTGGTAACTCATCCCGTAAAATATCACTTTCGGAACTAGTTACGTAAATTACTATTTTTTATTGTATTGAGGTAAATCTATTTCTGTTATTTTAACAAGTTGTTTCTATCTGTATGTCTATTCAACTAGTATTTTAACAAATAACTTTTATAGGATAAAAATAAATAAAAATTTTATATATTATATTAAAATAACCTAAAACCTCTTGTTTTGTTTCAGGGTTTTTAAACGCCAATACCGATCCATATAGTAGAAGTCCTGCTAACTACGGTTTAATGGATCAAATTGCTGCTCTACATTGGATTCAGGAAAACATCGCTGTATTTGGAGGCGATCCTACCAATGTTACTCTATTAGGACATGGGACCGGCGCTGCTTGTGTAAATTTTCTTCTAACATCTAGTGCTGTTCCTGAAGGTAGGGCATTCTTTAATAAAATAATCACATAATCACACATAATATAGAAATATTAGCCCCTGTAGATCTTAAATATCAACTAATTTTAAAAAAATCAATTAGTGTCGCGTTACCAGGTCTAGTGCTAAAATACCTTTGCTATTACTGATGACACCGGGAAACATTTACTTTTTTTGTAAGATTTTAGTTAATTTTTGGTTTCGTTATCATCACTGCGGTGTAGAATCCCTTAAAGGGACTCGACATTTTTAGACTTTCTGATTTTTCAGCTGGCAACATCAGTGTTCTCGGCATCCTATGTTACTCCGTCCATACACCTTAACTTCAGCTCACTTAATACGCGAAGGGCCACTATGACCTCCATAAAGACGGTTGAGCTAGTCGACATTGCTTTTGTCATATTTATTAATTAGATATTATTATTAAGTATGCTTGTCGTTGAGCTTACTCAGTTTCAGGGATATTCGTTTCAGATGAGAGTTCTACGTAAGGTGATTACCTGGTATTATTACAAGATATTTGACCTTACTCGAAATATCTTACTTTAACCACTTTATTAAAATTATGTAAATTTAATTAAAAAAGCATTCCTAAAAATAATATATAAGCAAATTTATAAAAAATATGAAAAAAGAACAAAGGACACTTAATTTGTTTTTAAAAGAAGCTTGGGAGCAAGGCATGTTTTTAAATAATTCAATAGCTAATCTAAAAGCAGAACTAAGTATCGCCAATGATCTGTATGTAAAAGAAATGGAGATATAGAAAGGCGTGAGACAGGGTTGTATACTCCCTCCACTACTGTTTAACAGTTATTTAGAAAAGATATTTCAGCTTGCAGAACAGAACAAAAAAAGGCGTTTAATTTAGTGGTTCCCCTATTAATAATCTAAGATATGTTGTCAATACAACTATAATTGTGATCAAAATATAGCAGCTGCAAGATTTGGAACTGTTACATAATGGAGCAAATACGAGTATTAATTGCTAGGAACATCTTCATTAAATTTGATAAATACCGCCTTTGCTGTAAATTCTTAGAAAATTAGAATGCTACACATAGCCTATACTGGCCATTTAAAGTGAGATCTCTGAATCCTGTGGAACCTGTAGAAATATGTCTCAGCTATAAGCTGCTTAAAATTTCAAGGATTGGCTATGTACCAAATGGTGAGGTCCTTAGAGAAGCTTATTGTCTAAAGAGATTTGATCGATCTAGTTAAGCAGCGAAAGGTTTTCTACTTGAGCCGTATTCTAAGAAATAACAAATATAATCTATTAATTTTCATCTTGATGTGTAACGTTAAAGAAAAGTAAAAAGAAAGAAGGGTCTTTGTACATTCGATAACCAACCTAAATATATAAACGATTATACCCTGAATAATTGAGAATTTAGTTTAAACAGTTTTTTATTTCTGTTTTTTCGATTTAAGGTATTCTTTGTTATTCTTTTGGTGTTTATGTTGTTAATTTACTTTTCCAAAAATATTTTATATTAGGTACTTAATTAAATGTTATCCTCTAGTTTGCTCCTATTATTGATTATTAATTTAGGTAACACTTGAAGTTGTCTACTGATAACACCTATCTAAGTAGCTAATAATCTAAAGACCAGGGAACTAAGAATTTTTCAGTGACATTCATTGATACAGGTATCTAACAACTGCTGATGATAAATTTAGTAATAACAATATATAATAAACAACATATGCATATTATGATCAAACGTCTTTTTTTATTTTTAAACAATTTATAAACAATGTAAGATTGCTATTTAATTTAAAATACTTAAGGTGAAGACCGGTAAACTATCTGGAAAAGTAACATATTTTCACAAAAAATAATATAAAATCCTTTAAAATTAGGGTTTGTAAAGTTTTTTTTGGTAATTTGCTGCTTAATTATTGCAAAAATAGTTTTATAATTTGATTTTGCAAAAACTTTTAACATAACATAGCATAAATATTTCTAAAACAAAAATATTTAATTTTATTGGTTATCCCAGAGAGCTTTTATCTACAACGTTATTTTGCGTGTTTTCATAAATTATGTAGACCTAATAGTTAAGTGATAATAAAGTTTGTTGATAAAAGCTTTCTGAGATAAACAATTTCAATTTGGCAATACCTGTTAAGTGAAACTTCTTAAAATTATTATAACTAAATACATGTGATTTTGTCCCTATTATTTTTGTGAACTTTTAGAAAATTTCTTAATAAATTATTTTTGCAATAATTAAGTAACATATTAACAAAAATAACTTTACAAGCTCTCATTCTAAGGGATGTTCTATGCTTTTTCTATGTATGTATCGTAAAATTATAAAGTAAAATAATTTATTATATACATAATGTTGATAAATTTCAGAGTAACTCTTTATATAGAAATTGTGTCACATGACCATATCGCTTATTTTAATATTACATGTGCGAATATGTATTGGTATATTATAATTGTTTATACAAAGGAAGTGGTGTTAAAAATATGGCATAATAAAACAACTACTCTATAGCTAATTATTATTTACATAACTAATATTTAAAATTATTTGGGATTAATCACGATAATTTATATTTGACAACATATTGGTGAACAACAAAAAATAAAAACGTGACTATTTTCAAATGAATTATTTAAATTAGGTATATTGAAATAATGGAATCAATATTACGCAAAATTTATGAAAATGTATTTTAATTTATAAAAAATTAAAATAAGCTTAATTAACTTTAATTAGCACATTTCTATTATTATGTACTAAATAGACCAAATGTGACGATTAGGCTTTTGATCCTAATCAGTTTACCATCACCTTTAGTGGTGAGTATTTTAGTTAAAAATTACTTGCTGGGTGACTCAAATACTAGCATAGTGTCAACTAGGCTTAAAGAAGCTATAGAAATCGGCAGCTTAAGAGGTCTAGTACTAAACTTCAATTTTAACATGGATGAACGACATAATAACAACATTTTGTTAATAAACTTTAAAAAATTAAAGGCAAATATCGAACAAAATTTTAACAATCAAATCTTGCCCAAGTACTTTCGTTTTCTACAGCATCATCAGGGCCATTTCGTCAAATTTAAGCTATTTGGGCAGAATGTAATAAACATGAAATTGAACATAAATTGTACATAACACTACACTAAAACAAGGACAAACAGTTTAAAATTATTTAAAAATTATTCTATTCTCTACATTCTTGTCAGCATCAGCAGAGAGAATTTTGTTAATTGGCTGACTGCGTTTCCAAAATATATAAACCACGGTAAACTGTGCATTACCGGTCCCTTGGGACCAATAGGAGACATGCATGGACACAATGCTTTACCGACAGCCGGGGACCAGTAATGATGTACTTAGCTTTTATATTTTTACAATTTTATAATCTAAATTATACGAGTTTTAAGATCAAGTATCAAAAATAAACACATTAAAAATTTACTATTATCATCCGTTTTTTAATCAGGTTTCCTATTAAAAATGTTTTAAAGTGACAGTTTAAAACAACAGATGATAGAAAACTCTTAATATTTTCTTTTTATTTTCTAGTGCCCACGGATTTTGTAGACAAAGACCCCAATAACGCCCACTTGCGATAAAAACGGTAGCTTCATTTAAAAGTGTTGAACACTTTATTTACTTCACTGACTTTATTTACTCTTATGTTTCAGTTATGTTTAACATTGCGCTTTCTATTTCAATAAGTATTTCTTTTGATACGAAGCTTCTGGACTTATGTGTGCTATATTTTTTTCATTGTTTGGATGTTCTTTTCACTTTTATTTAGCGAATTTTTACCTTTAACAAGATTCTTAAGGTTGACCTCTTTCGACGTGTGAGAAAATCTCAGATACTGATCTACTTACCTATGGTACATATTGATATGTTTCAACATTCGCCATTAGGTCGTTGGTGAGTTTGTTTTCAGCCATTCTGAATTAGACGTTGTTTGCAACCGTCTACTATGGATCAGTTGCTGTCTATTTTCTAGTTTTGATCCTTCTCGGATATCCTATTTCCCCGGTACCTCTTATATCTTGGAGACAGGCTCTGTTCGCCACCCAACGGACAAGACGCCCAATGAGGGTTAGTAGTAATGTATAGTAGTTATAGTTAATAGTTATTAGTAATATACTAAATATAGTCAATCGATCAAGTAAAAAGTTTTAAATAGTTGGGAATGATAATAAATAACCAATGGAATCCTCAACCAGAAATAAAATGTCGTACCGAACAAGCAAGACAAGCGTTTATCAAATTTAAACTGCTACTATGTAACCGCAATCTTTTCTTTAATCTCCGCTACAGGATGGTTAAATGCTATGTATGGTCCATATTGTTATACGGCATTGAAACATGGATGTTAAGAGTACCTTTCATTAAGTTGGAGGTCTTCGAAATGTGGACGTTGCGAAGAATGTTTCTTGATAGATAGGGTGAGAAACGAGGAAGTCTTAAGAAAGGTTAATATTGAGAAAAAACTACTCAATTTAATCAGGGTACGAAAAATTAGATCGTCTTCTTCTAGTTCCATGACCGCTATCTAATATATTATTGACGGTTACTCCATTTACAATAATACCTTCGGTTGTCTCCATTAAGGCTTCCTTAAATATTTCCTCCGAATATAAGTTAAAAACTAAAGGCGACAATATACAGCCTTGTCTCACTTCGCTTTTTATATTTATTTCATCCGACAGTTCTTGTTCAACCTTTATTCTTGCCACTTGATGCCAGTATAGATTTGTAATTATTTGTAGATCTTTATCGTCCAATCCAGCTGTTTCCAATATTTCTAGCATATTGTTATGTCGGACTTTGTCAAAAGCTTTTTCAAAATCGATTGCACAAATGTACACATTTTGATTTATATCTCAGCATCTTTGTACTAGCATCTGTATACTTAACAAGGCTTCTCTTATACCCAAGCCACTCCTAAACCCAAATTGAGTATTGCTAATTCTGTCCTCTAACAGCGTGTAAATTCTGCTGTGTATTACCCGCAGGAAGATCTTCAAAACGTGACTCA